TTTATATATATATATATATATATATAAATAGATTTTTTTAAAAGTTTAAACTTGACATTTTTATTAAACAGGTGAAACTTTAAAGAAGCTAGGCCATGAGCCTTTATTTAAGATTTGACCTATTATCATCTCTACTAATGACATATTTAAAAGTGATAAATTGAGACAATTATATAATATTATTAGTTCAATTTAATGGAATATTTTTACTAACAAGGATACTAATAAGTAGATTTTGTGAGTCAATATACTATAAGAAATATTATATACACTAGCCTGAAAAAAGTGTTACTACAGCCTACAGGTACAATATATATAAACGTATATTTAATTGACATATAAATATTACACACAATTTTATTATTAATTTAAATGAGATTTAACTATATATTTTATCTGTCATTATAGCCTATATCCACACTTTTAAATAATATATTAATGTATGTTATATTTATTGTATGAATAAAAATAATTTTTAATGATATATATTATGTCACTATAGAGTATATATCACTATAAGACAATTTTTAATAATTATATTTGACTGTTCTTTAATATATTTTAGTATAAGGACTAATATAATTGTTAAAAAGAAATTATAAAAATTAAAAAATTAATTTTAAAGTTGAATAATTAAAAATAAAATTATCATTTGAAAGAAAAAATATATATATATATATATACCTACACCTAAAATAGTTAAGTACTATACAAAGCTATCAATGACATCAATAGTGGTTCTTTAATTTATGCAGTATGTCCTATTTCACCGATGAAAAAGATCCTTCAATTCCTGTATTACTGAATATCACTGGATGTTTCTTTCTTCTACATCACTCCTTTATTCAATTATCATGATTTTTCAATTTTGCTGAGAATTAGAATGACTTTTGGTTTCTCAAACGGATTTCAACTTTACAAGGCAAGCATAATAATTGGGAGGGGAAAAAAAGTAAAAGTATAATATAGAAATATGAATTTACCTCAATGGAAGCTGCAGTGCATAATGTGATCAGAGTGAAACAATCCACGTATGCTTCTTCGATTAGAGAAACAAAAAGAAAAAAGAAAGACGATAGAGCATCTTGCAGATTAACAACAACAGCAGCTATCCGCTGGTCACCATCCATAAAATCTGTGAGGTAGTCCATCAATGTAGACAGCACCGCTATTTCCAAAAAATTGTAGCTTACAACCAAACCTGAAAATGTATCCGCCAAAAATAGTGAAGTTAAACATAAGTTCCCATGCATAAATTATTAACACAATTAGTTGCGTTCTTCAACAGTGGTTACCGCCAATAAAAGGTATGGTCTTTGAGAAGAGGAATAGATTACGGAGTGAAGCTTTTGTGGAGTGCAAGAATGACTTAGGAGGAGGTTTGGTGCTTACTTCTGAACTGTGTTCTTGCTGTGCCATGACCAAGTTTGATGGGAATACAACAATCAAATGACAATTATCTTGAAGCTAAAGTGCAAATAGAGGTAACAGAATGCTACTTTTAAGTGCATTATTGAGACTGAGTGCGGTGATGACAAAGCAAAGACAAAACAAGTCAAGTCAACCCAACTCTAGTCCACACACCTCATGCAAGGAAAAGGGCTGTAACGTTTGAAGACCGTCACTTCAACATCATACTCATAGAGCACCGTCGGTGAGATTTTTTTTTTTCTTGATTGACCTCATAGACTTTAATTAATATATATATATATATATATATATATATATATATATATTATTTATATTATATTTTTTATATTTAAAAATAAAGTATATTTTATAACTTTTAAATTTTAAAATAAAGAATATTTTTTAAATAGTTATTTTAGTATTTAAATGATAAAATATAAAATATGTTTTAATTTAAAAAAATATTTAATTTTTTTTTGTGTTCCAATTTTAAATCAAATGACTTTAATTTAATTTTAGTTTATATATATGTATATAAAATATTTTTAGTTTATTTTAATTAAGCATCTCATAATATATATTTTTTCAAAATATTGTAGTATAATTTATACAAGATATTATAAATAAATTAAAGATTAACACTTCTTTTAAAAGTATTTTTATTTTATATAATTATTTTTGTATCGTATAAATTTGATGAAGGAATTAATTGATATTTTGAATTAACAAAAATTTATATATATATATATATATATATATATATATATTATATTTTGGTATTTTAATGATATTTTTATTTTTATTTAAAATATATCTATTTTTTGTCAATATTTTTTTTTATATTTTAACTAATTTTAATTTGTATACTTTTGACAATGGAATTAATTAATGATGATATAATTTGTCAACATAATAAATCATATATTGTAACAAAATATTAATATTAATTTTTTTATAATTTAATTTTTTTTTACTTTTGATAATAAAATAATGTGTAAATACAACAATGAAAGTGAATATTATTGGAGTGAATTAGAGCTCCGTGGATGATGAAGACATTTGTTTTTTGAATGTCTTGGGATTTGACAAAGGGAACAACATTTGGATTGTCCCTTTCCTCTTAAGTCCATAGTGCGTATATGACTTGATTTTGGGCGACCTTTTAAACTTCTTCACATGTTTGAATTGTGACACATTTATGGTTCGCGTGATAGGTTGGCTAATAATTTGGGTGATGTATTTGGCCGAATGATCCTTTGTATGCATTAGAGGCGTATAGTCCAACATGTACATTGGATGTGTGTATCTTGTTTAATCAATTTCTACGTGTTTACATGTAGCAATTGCGTGTGAACATGACATGTGCACTTTTTGAAATTTTCCATAATTGCACCATTGTTGATCCAATCACACAATGAATTTTCCAATTTCCCTTTGGTGTTCTTGTGCATTATGTGACACCCTCTATCCTGCATATCATAATACAAATAATAAAATTTAAATAACACAGTCTTTCATTTTTTTTAATATACCAAACATGTTCAGATAGAGAGCACCATATTCATAACTTAAACAAATAACATAATCACAAAAGCAATAAGGATAAGATTTTCAAAATAATTTAACAGAAACAGCATACTAATCTAATCCTATCTACATCCCGATGTCACGTGTCCTATCAGAGCAAATCCCAACATAGAAGCCTAAGCTTCATCACCAACATCCTCAGCCTCATGCTGATAATCACCTGTAAGATAGTCAAGGAAAAACAACACAAGAAAAGGGAGTGAGAAACATCTCACTCTGGCTCACAGTATAGGAATATACACCGGATAGCCAAACACAAACAAAACATATATAACACAGATAAATTAGTAATAATATCACATCTCACTCATTCAAGACATAAAAATATTAATTTATCATATAACATTAAAATACACATTGATGGACACGGACTACATTTTATCATGCATGTGGCGCCAGTAAAACATCACATGGCATATTGTCGCTAGCAATACACATTGATGGACACGGACTACATTTTATCATGCATGTCATTGACGCAGTGCTTAGGGTTTCAAAGTGTCATTGATGTAGTGTTTAGAGTTGTTGAGTGTAATTGATTGACGCCTATCTCCATATTCTATTTAAATGATACCATTCTTGGATTCAAATGCAAAGTGCAATTGAGCAAAGTTTTCTTGTTTTTGTGTGTTAGTCTTTGTCTACAACAATGTCTTCCTCTTCTTTCCCTGTGTTAGTCTTTTTCAATGGTGAAATCACTCAAACAAACCAAGGGGATACTTTTGTATCCTCTGACCCAATATTTTTATCAATTAGTTCACGTATCACACTTAATGCATTGAAAGCTAAGATCCAAAGAAGACTAAACTTAACACAACCACATTCAGTTGATCAACTTTACTTTCGGTATCCACAAGTGGTAGGCAGAGGAATGCTTAATTTCCGGGCTGTCAAGCTTACTGACGATGAAGACGTTCATGGTATGATTCAAATGGTTCATTCCCTTAAACATCTTACTTCTGCTCAACTATATGCAGATCTCACACCAATTATTTTTGAAGAAGAAAACCAACCTTCTACATATGAAAACCAACCTTCTATCTATCAAAATCAACCTTCTTCTTCCTATCACAACCAACCTTTTTCCTATGAAATCCAACCTTCTTTTTATCAAACCCAACCTTCTTCCTATCACAACCAACCTTCTTCCCATGAAAACTAACCTTTTTGTCATGAAAACCAACCATCGTTAGACAATTTTCATACACATGGATCCTTTACCAACCTCCTTACAGTTGGAGTCCAACAAGAAGAACAACAAGAAGGAGTCCCTAAAGTTCCTGAAGAAGAAGTTGGTCCTTTTAGTGAGGGGGAAGATGATGCAAGACTCCAACAAGACGATGAACAAGATCGTCTTGTACAACAATCTCAGCACGTAAGCACATTCAGTTTTCTTTCACACATGCATAATGTTGATTTGCAAACAGATTTCAGCGACCTAGAGTATAGACATGCACTTGACCATATTGACGTCGAGTACTCTCTTGACAACCTATTTCAAGGCATGACTTTCAACACAAAGGAGGAAGTTCAACATGTTCTAAATGCATACCATATAAAGAAAGGTTTGTAATACAGGGTGGAGAAATCATCACCAACATTAATTGTCGCACGTTGTGTTAACAATACATGTGATTGGAGGTGCAGAGCGGCTTTTATTACTAAAAGCCAAAAATGGGAGCTTCGTAAGCTATCAGATGAACATTCTTGCTCATCACCTATTATTACACAAGATCATGTTAACCTTGGCTATGTATATATTAGCAAAAGTATTCTTCCTTTGGTGGAGAGTGATCCATCCATTTCTATTCCAACATTAATAGCACACATCAAAAATGCTGAAGGGTACACAATCTCATACTGCAAAGCTTGGATGGCAAAGCAAAAGGCAATTGAAGACTTACATGGCAACTGGGAACAATCTTACCATGATTTACCCAAGTTGCTCAGTGCCATGAGTGGATTTCTTAATGGATTTGTTGTTGAGAAGCAAACAAGGCCACTATACAACAAACAAGGTGAGATGGTTCATCATTATGTTCAATTCCATAGAGTATTTTGGACATTTAAACCTTGTATTGATGGGTTCAAATATTGCAAGCCCATTGTTCAAGTTGATGGCAAATTCTTGTATGGCAAATACAAAGGAACTCTCCTTATGGTCGTGGCTCAAGACGGTAACAACAAAATCTTTCCAATTGCCTTTGCAATTATTGAGGGTGAAACAGCAGAAGCATGGTTTTTCTTTCTACATTATCTCAAAAGACATGTTTGCCCTCAAGATGGCCTTTGCTTAATTTCGGACAGGCACGAGTCTATCAAAAATGCCTACGCTAGACAGGACAGTGGTTGGACACCTGAGAATTCGGTGCGTGTGTTCTGTATTTGCCATATAGCTCAAAACTTCACGAGGCATTTCAAGAATACAGAACGAAAAAAATTAATCATCAATATGGGTATGTACTTAGCATCATTAATTACTTTTATTTGTTTCACCATATTTCAACATTACTAAATTGTTCATTTTTTGCTAATCTGATTTCACAGCTTATGGGATGACTAAGCCAAGATTCAATTACTACTACAACATGCTAAGGAGCGAACCAGAAACTGAAGGTGTAATTGAATGGCTCAACACCATACCAAAAGAACAATGGACTCTTGCATGGGACGGTGGCCGATGATGGGGATACATTGCTACCAACTTGGCTGAGGCAATTAACTCCATTCTTAAAAAAAAAGAAATTTTTCAATTTCTCCAATCATCATGTCGACTTATAAGAGATGTAATGCCTTATTCATCCAAAGGGGGAAGGAAGTCGATGCTAAACTTAGGGTTGGCCAAGTTTTTATGGAAATAATGAATAGGGCCATGAGAGATGCAGAATCAAAGGCTAATAGTCATCATGTACTCGAATTTGATCGTCATAGTACACGTTTCCTGGTGCAAGAGACCATTAACCCAAGGGAAACATGACCTACTAGAACATTCACGGTTAGACTACATGACAAGTGGTGTGATTGTGGGAAATTCCAGAAGCTACACATGCCATGCTCCCATGTTGTTGCTGCATGTAAGCATGTTCACCACAAATATAAATCTTACATAGATCCGGTATACACATTACAATATGTTTCAAATGTGTATAACGAATTATTTGGTGAACTCACTAGTACAAAAGGGTTCTTTTACGTCGTATATTTTGAGGCTTTCACGTCAGAAAAGGCTCCGACGTTAATACGGGAGACGTAAATTTACGTCGCCTAGAAAAGATGACGTAAATTTACGTCGGAGATGCCTTTAGCCCGACGTAAAAAAAGGGTTTTGAAAGGGGAAAACTGAGGCGTCAATTTACGTCGGACTATACCTTGTCCGACATAAATTTACGTCGGCCTGTTCTAGGTACGACGTAAATTTACGTCGAACAAGGTATAGTCCGACGTAAATTGATGCTTTTTTTTAAAATTTTGGTTGTTTATTGATATACCCAAAACCTGCATATATAGTCCATAATATAAAACTTAAACCAGACAGTCCAGAATATAAAACCTAAACCAGGCAGTCCATAATAGAAATTTAAATTATATTTCAAAATTGAATGACAAAGAAAATAATATATAAATGTTAAAAAACATAAATTATAACAATGTAACTCCTATAATCCTAAAAAAGCTATAAAACATATGTTTGTCAATGCTATCAAACTAGTAACATAATATCTAACTAACTAAACTTAGAAATCTAACTAATATATACTTTGAAGAAAAAAAGTTGCCCATTGTTCTCTTATCTTGATGATCTCATCTTCGGGCAATGGAGATGGATCTTGAAAGACCTGAAACATTAATTTAAGTGTCATTAATATGCAATGTTAATTATCCTAAAGGTAAATATACTTAAATAAATTTTGATATGAATTACCTGCGCCCAAGAATCAGTAATACCCGCAGAAACTATGGCTCTCATCCAATACATGATGTAATAGCCACATTCAAACGAGTCTTGTTGCTTATTACACTAAAATGAGAAACAAATAACTATTATTTCCAAAGTCAATAAATTTAAATATTATTGTCTGTATTAATTAATTTGCTAACCTTAGGGTATATGAAGTGCAATGTCTTTGATGATCTGCTTCTTCCACTTAAAATATTAGCTCCAGACACGATTCTAATTAATTGAAATAAAAACAGATGTTAGCCAATATATATAATTACAGTTTTAAAACATAATGAAAAAATTTAGTTACCCTTGTAATTGGCATTTAATTTCGTGGCTTGGTTTTCGATGTAGTGAACAAAACCACACCACGGTGTATTCCTTAGGAATGATTACCATTAACTGCCAATGGGACCTACATTGTATGACAAACAAATTAGTTATAAAATTACCATGATTAAAAAACCAATTAAAAAACTAACCCGTCAATGTATGGAGCCATGTATATATCTCTTCTTGAGTCACTCATCCATGTTTGCATATATTGCTGGATCTGGACCTGAGTGTTTCCTGATTTTTGGATTGATTGAGGCTCAATAAATCCATATACTTCTGCTTGTGCTTGCTCCACACTCAATTTGTCCATGTACCTAACACAAATAATTATTATAAGTTAAATGTAATTATTGTAAATTTAGACTCATAAAAGAAAATATGACTTACATGGCCCACAACTGTATGATAGATATATTTAACATGGAGTTTCCCCCAACAATCTCTAATGCATCAGGCAGAGATATGTATAGTGGAACATCAGAGCTATCAACTCCAAAAACTCTAATGTCCCACTGCAATTGAATTGGCTTCTTCTTTAATCGTGGTAATATGATTAGAAGCTTAGATATGGGATCACCCTCAGCTTCTGCGATATTAGCATCATCAACATGAGGTTCTCTCATGACCTCCTTACCACGATTGATAAAATCCTAAAGAAATAATCAAAATTAGTTAAACAATAATAGAATTATAAGAATATAAAAGAGCAATAATATAATTACCTTTGCCCGTGCTGAAAGTGGCATGACCAAACGTTTTGGCCAAGCTAAGAATGTGTCGGTTGCTTGCCCACTAGTTGAACCACTGTATTGGGCAAAGGCACTGGAGCAGCAGCATCTTGAACTTGGTCAACCACAACCCGTGTCCAGTCTGGCTGTAGAGGGACACCATGGATGGTTGAGCCACCCTCAAATACTCGGCCAATAGCCACTAACCGTGGGGGGCATCCTCAACATATAACTCACACTAGTTTGGTACATCAGCATGAGTCTGTTCCAATAACATTAAATATTTTCTAAAAATTAAATGATTAAATTGAACCATTTATAAATAGTTAGTGTAACACCCCAATTTCCTTAAAAGGATATTTTTATTAGTAATGGCATTTTCGTAATTATTGATGGCATTTTCGTAATTTTATAAAGGTAAGTTTACATTGCAGAATCCTACTAACCAGAAATCGTTGTTTTTCTCGTAGAACAAACTAAGGTTAGTAGAACTTGTAAGATACCTAAAAATAAAATTTACAACTTTAAAATGAGACTTTATAGGATTAAGCTAAAATCTAGCACATAGGCCTACACTAAACTTGATGTCAAATTTGCTAGCAATCAGGTAAAGGAGAGATCCAATCATACTTTTGTAGGTCGTCTGATCTACTGGTTTACCTGATTTGTCTTTTGATAGACCCATAGATGGATGCATAGGTTTAGGCATTGGTTTACAATCATTCATCTCAAACTTCGAGAGAAGCTCTTTTGTATACTTTTACTGATGAATGAAGATTCCTTCATCTAATTATTTGATCTAAAACCCTAGGTAGAACTTCAACTCACCCATCATGCTCATTTCAAATTCATTCTGTTCTTAT